CGTCGGCCACGCGCGCTGACACGGAGAACAAATGCGGCTTTTCACCGCGTCTGTCGAACCTGGCGAAAGGGCAGCTCCGATACGATGAAATTTTCTCGAAATGTCACGGCACGACAAGGGACGGAACATCTGCTAGAGGCAGGCTCCGCCCGGATTCCTAATATGCGTCCAGGTGCATTGAGCAGCGAGTCAAGCTTCTGACTGCTCTCCGAACGCTACACTCTTAAAAAAAAAGGTGCGCAAAGGGACCAATCGCCATCTTTCATCCCCGCGACCCTAGCGCCCTCTATTCAGAAGCGGTAACTCGAGCAGCTCGTCCCGCGGGCATTTCGTTGCTCCCGCTGGAGTTGATCCCCTAACGAATACTTTAGTCCCCTCGCCAATAATGGCTGCCGCAAGCCTTCGATGAAGTGGACGAAGCATCACTCGGCTAGCTATTTTGGAAAGAAGCCTCGGCAAAACAAGATTTTGGCCCCGGGATTTAGAAATTGTGACTACACGCGCATATTCGGTGAATGTTTCCGGCCGCGAAAAACATGAGAACGGAATCCGAGCGACGCGGAGGCGCCGGAGACGAGGCTACCTACTCTCCGACTGCCGCGCGCGCGCCCGAGTTTGAACTGGAGGTGACGGTTGACCCAGTTGACCTGTGGCGGTGCGGTGGAAGCCTCGTCGGATGCAGTCGGAGTGGCAACCGATTGGACGGTGAGTTTTGATTGCTTTGGCTACTTGTTGAGCAGCAGAAATGTTATAGTCATTTCAGAACGTACTTCATAAAGTCGCAGGGTTACCCTGTACGATAGGCGCTCGCTCTCTGACGCGGTCGGGCTCGTACTCGTCCATGTTAGCGTGCAAACGAGGCCTAGCACTTCAAAACTAGACCCGGCGGCAATCAGTTCATCAAACAAACGATATAACACCGGCAGATGGTTTCGTCGACGCAGCAGCGTTTTAATGCCACTTAGGTTCATCGAAAAGTACCCGTGTTCGTTTCATCGACCAACCTTGCGACGCTTCATCGGAAGCGTCTTTCCGCACATATCGCCTCGGTCGGCGACCAAGGCGATGCGAGCTTGACGAAACCGTTGCGGTTCGCATGAGGCCTGGTGCGTGTTCGCGCCTCGAGAGTAATTGTTTCGCGCTTACGCTCTTAGGCGAAATGTATGGTCGTATCCGATATGCGTAAATAAACATGTTCTCGATCAATATTAAAGCGTCTCCGAGCGGAGCGAAGGGTTTCAGCGCGTAGTGCGGACGGTTTGAAAGCGGCGATCGCCAATTCATTTGTGGCGTATCAGAGTCGCCTGGGCAAGTCCGCTTTAGTTGAGGTAGGTTTGCGGCGAACGAAATTAAACCAATAATGCAATCCCCGTGGTGAACGAAACAAAACAAAGTCGACGAAACGTTGTAGGAGCACGTATCGACGAAATTGAGCGGTGCCGCGAAGTCGTGCACGCGCGCGTTTAGTGAAGCATTATTTTATGTTTTTACTTTCTCTGCGGGTTTCCGAGTGTCTTTCGGCCCTCTATGTTTCGGCCGATGCTGGTCGGCTCCGCGGCACAGTTTATAGTTTCAACCATGGTCGGGAATCACCACATTGGAATTGAACTTGAACGCTGTAACGATACTATTGTTTATAGAGCCCAGCGTGAAGGTGTTTTGTCTTGCAATACTTCTGCTTTTGAGATCCTCACTTCGGAGTTTGCTTTCGCCCTGTGTAACTTGTGCTCGTGGCTTCGAAATGTGTGTTGTATTCTTCAAAGCTGCTCTTGTGATCTTCGTTCAAAGGTTTTTTTTTTTTTTATGCTTGTTATTGATAGCTGTGTTTCCTTTGGGCTCTGAGCATTTTCAAACAGTCTGGTTAGGACACGCATGTCGAAAAATAAATTTTACGCGAATAAACAACAAAAAAAATTAGAGTAATATTTATTTATATATTTATTCATTTATTTATTTATTTATTTATTGAAAATACATGCAGGGCCCGAAGGCATTACAGAGGGGGAGAGGCACATACATAAAATAAAGATATTAATATAGTAACAAGTGAACAATATTAAATATGCAACAAACAAAAAAAAAATCGACGGGTCATGGGTCACAGACGCGATTTAGTCGGTAATCATGTCCTTTCCACTTGTTTTCTTTCGGGTGCGGGGAGGAGAGGTGGATTGCCTTGGCCATCGCATTCAGCCAATCTGCCAATGCCAATGTTATTGAGGAGAAAATTGCGTATTATTATTCCGTGACGTCATGAAATTAATAGAAAATTAATCTCGCGCCGTCAATATTGCTAAAAAATGTTTTTGCGCAAAATTTTTTTTTTTTTGCCACTTGTGTCCCTTATAAACTGTCTAAAAGAATTTTTTTTTTTTTCAGGTTTCCTTTAGGGTGCAATTTTCTCGTCTTGACTGTCATTCGATTTCGCATTAATAAATTCTGGTTATGACAGACACTATGCTTTATGACAGTATCTTACATAAATAATAGGGTATTACCACATAGCATCGTAATTTTGGAACAGAAGTGGCTGCAATCAAAAATAAAAACAAGTCACGTAAAAATAAATTTGCACATGCCATGAACAGTTATCACGACACAAAATGTTGCTATAGCTTCATTTAAAGGACACTTTAATTTTTAGTTGGCCTAGCACCTCCTAAATACCAACACCTTAGCCCTTAATTTTCTTTCTCGGTTATCATATTTCAGTGCAGGGTATATAGTGGACAGTGCTATGTTAGCATTGGCCTAGAACTCGTGTTCAGTTGGTGAGAATACGTGTTCCAGCTGAATGCAAATACAGCACTTTTTCCAGTCAGCCTTGCGATGACCTATGAGAGGGGGTAGAATCCAGCAACACTAAAGCCTTGCGATCTAGGAGGCATTGAACTAACTGAGTAATCTTTGATTATTGAGCTCCTTAAGCTAGTGATTTCGCACTTGTAGGCTTCTTTGTCTCTTGAATGTTATTAAAAAAAAAAATGCTTTTGATGTAGCAAAAAAAAAATTCGACCACAGGTGGAGAACAGACATATGGAAAAGGGTTGATTTATGAGGTTTAGGGCGAAAACGAGCTGGTGCTAGTTAATTAAGACTATGTCTGCCTGTCCTTTCTTTTTCGAAATCTCTGAGTGTTTTTACTATGTTCAAGGTTGGTTTACTTCGTTCCTTCTAATTTTCAGAAGCTGCAAGCATCCTCGCCCATGACTGAAGATTGAAATTTCATAGCCGGCCACTTGGACGCAATGAGAAGAGAAAGGAAGGGAGCTACTACGTATATGGAGATGGTGAAAGATGCCATGGCGAGGACTTTTTGGGCAAGGAGGGTACATCAGCATACACCCTACAATCTTCAACACCGTAGACGACTATCCAGCCCTAAAGCTCACAGACCAGGTAATATGTTGCTTACTAGCGATGTTGCTCATGCTTTTAGGAGCAGTAAGTTCCCTGAGAAGACCCCGACCACCCCCATTATGGTGCATTCGCGCTGCTAGCGAATGGAAGCTCCTGCAGGGAGATCTCGGTGACGCGGTTGGGGAAAATGTTCCTCAACGCACAGATCTGCTTTGCAGTTGCGGCTCCAGGCCTGGCACAAATGCGCCGTTAGTCCTGTCATGGTGAAGTCTGGCACCATGATGGGTCTCCTTTTTTATCCCACTTACATCAATTACGATTTTGTTACAACTGATAAGTAATGATTTTTTTCGCTTTTTCTTTTAAAAAGAGCAGTTTACAAATATCGTCAAGTAGACTGAAAATGTGAAAATAATGTTTCTTGCAGATCTTTGCAGTGTCTTTTTGTATTAGTACTGGCGCCAAGGCAAAGGAGCGATTTATGAATGTTGCCTCAGAAAACCTGCCAACTGTTCTCATGGTGACTGAGGGAAAACCAAGACCGGCCCTGTTCTGCGAGATCATTGTAAGGCTTTATGATGCAGAAGATATAAAAAAGGTGCACTTTACCCTTTGTTGTATTACACTTTTCTTTTTCAGCACATTTGCAGTAAATGAAGCCGTTCGTCTTTTGCTATTAATTTCCTTCCAAGGGCTCAGCTTACGGGATGGCAGAAACTTCGGGCTCTCGGGACAAGTATTTCATCACCCGACCCTGCCCTCATGCACATGAGTATGTGCAGAAAGCATGGTCACCAGTTTTATGATCGACAGCTGGCTGGATCTGAGAGCATACCCAATGTGATAACAAGGTTTAAAATGGCACTGCCCTGCCAACCTGTTGGAAGTTTTCAAGAGAGCAAGCACACTGTCCTTGCCCTGTTGCTCAATTCAGTGGGGATTATTCAAGTTCAACATGCCTTTAAAAAAAATTCTCCTCATAGGCCACTTCTTGCTTGCCTTTTTTATAGCAGCATTCTTGCGTTTTAGTTATATTTTTGGAGGGCTAGAAAACCGAGCAAATAGCTTTATATTTTGGTAGGTTCCTCCTGCTGAGCGAGATTTGGTGCAGCTGAGATGTATCTGATCGTAACTGGCCAACCAAAAACACTGCACATTCTGAATTAGTTGGCTTATGTGGAAAATTGGGGTACTTCATACTTGTTTTTATTCCTTTGTTTATTTTAAAGTAAGTATTAACAGCACTTCTCAATTCACGGGCAAAACTAAATGTGATCACAAGCATAATGAGATGTGCTTGGAACGAATTACTTTCAGAAAACTGATAACAACATCATAGTCTTATTAACTGGCACTTCCTCCATGGCAAAAGCAAGCACCACGAGTCTTTTATTATCCCACTGACATCTTTGCAATTACGATTCTGTTTCTCATAATAAATTGGGAATCTTTTTTTCTTATCTCCTGCTTTTCTACAGGGTAGTTTACGATTTATTGGCTCACTAAAGATCATCTATTTTTATTTCAGATTTTTGCTGAGTTTAATCGCATCACAAGCGTCGATGCCGAGCAACTCTCTTTTTAAATTGCCTCAGAAAACCTGGCGACCGCCCTTGAACTGACAGAGCGCAAGACAAAGCCGGACATTTTCTACCAGACTGTTGAAAGGATGGATGATGTTAAAGAATCGGAGAAACAAGGTATACCTGCTTTACAATTTAGCCTTCATTGACTGTTAGCGGAAGTCCCAATCCAGCTAGCTTTCTATTGCAACCGAATTGGTGCCGACTCAGTTCATGTGATAGGTGGGTGCAAACTATGTAAATTAAATTCGAGATATCTAACAGTTATCTGTACGGCATCTGAAATTCCAAATGCTTCTGTACATTAATTTTAAATTGTGAGTGACCGTCTGGTGATGAGTAACATTAAAAAAAAATGAAGGAATGGCTGTATTTAAAAAGAAATATAAATTTGCATTACTGATGTGATGCTTAAATAGAGCCTTCATATTTTGTGTTGAATTGCTGTGACACTTGGCACTGAGCACAATTGAAAGGATTAGTTTAAAAAACAATCTACTAGCATGGGTGATTATTCTGTTATTAACTGTGTGCATATGAGGAAACAAAATCAGGCCCTTATTTCTCACCTGGTAGGATTTACTGCATGGTATTACTGTTTCACCCTATGTCCGGATGCAGCGGATGCTAAGCAATCCCATTTAATCGTGCTCTTTGAACATAGCACATAACACATGTCGCCGCGCCCACTCTCTAAGGACACATGACACCCGCACAGCTTTGGATTTGCTCTGATGGCTCGCAGCATCCGCTGCGCCCTGACTAAGGTGATACAGAGTATAGTGTAGATGGTGGTTGGACAAAAAAATTCTGAAGTGTCTGTGCTCTGTGGTATGAAAATATTTTAAAGGGATACTTAACGAAATTTGAAATATACCCGTCCTGTTCAGATATGGGCTGAATATGATCAACAATATCCGTAAATGACAATCTCACGTTTGTATTTTGAGCCTGAAGGCTGAATTTTTCGTTATAAACGAAATACCTTTCTGGCTTTAATGCAAAGCATTAGATGAATCCGTGTTAAGAGCCTTTTCATATACATCAACCGCATCTAGGAGTTTTAGATATCGCAGTGCTCCCGAAACTTACTGTTGACCGGAGATGGTCCATCTTTTGCGTTGTTTGTGCTACTCCTTTGCTCACCAGTCGAACAACGTGGTGAAGTTTGGGTACCCGATGATGACCTAGCCTGGAGAGGATATTCCAGCTGCTCCATTGACCAATTTAGCTTTGATTTGCCAAGAACAATATTAGGGTAACTGGTTTGGGGTGTTAGGTTTAGGGAGTATGTACTGAACCTGTTTCAGGTAGTCTATCAGTTACCTGTATCTGCTTATCATCAGTTACTTGTATCTGCTCTAAGGGCAGGCCTCTCTTTTTGTCAGAAAGCCTTCGATTTTATGATTTGTTTTAATTCCCAACCTTTGTTTCAGACGTTCCCCGCAGTCTATTCCATCGAAGTGTGTCCAGGACCCCAACAGGGCGCTGCAGTGTGCTTTTTGTAATTCTGGCTTATGAGACAGATGGCCCTCTGGAAGCTGTGGCACTTTGTGTCTGCCTGGCATGGGTTTTCGACCTTCAGTACTTCGTTAAATATTTTTGCACATTTGTTTGTTTAGAGAGACTTGTAGGTCTCAAACATTCAACGCTGGGCTGCATGGACACAAGGCTGTTGACCATCCTAAATTTAAAAAAAAGTTTTTTCCACACATGTTGTTAAAAGAATGTTGTTCTGGGCTTGTGTAATGCATTGAAGGAATGCATTCGCATTTAAGTGAACATTATTTTTACTTTCTTGAGCACATGCATTCCTGAAGGTCTAAAACCCATGGCAAATTTTTTGTTCCGTTTTTTTTTTCTTTTTTTATAAATATAGGGTGACCCAAGTCACCGGGCTCGATCAAAAATGGACCGTAAAAATCGTCGCCTTCACGTCGTAGACCGTGGCAAGTTTATTCGCCCTATTATTTACAGAAAAAGAGCTACACTTTGTAATTAAAAAAACGACCTGTGAAATACACCTATGACGAAAAATTTAGATCGCTATGTACAGGCGTCAATTTTTACGGTCCATTTTAGGTCGAGCCTGGGGACTTGAGTCATCTTTTATACTAGTAATTTCTTGAGCAGATATGTTCCTACAGGCCAAAAACCTTTCCCAGGTTTTTTCTTTTTTTAAATTTATAAATATACTAGTAATTTTACTGCCCCACATTTTATGATTGGGAGCTCTTTTACTAAGGTGTTTGATTTTTTATAGTCATTTTCATTAAAAAGGGAACAAACGACATTAAAAAGAGCTGTCTCTTGTTAGCTTTTTTTTTTTTTCTCTACAAGTTTTCTTATTTTTGAATGGATATTAGGGTGTCTACAATATGTTTTAGTGCTGTGAAACGAGCCAGAACAATCAGATCCTGAATGTAGAAAGCTGAATTAAGATTTCACCAAATTGAATTTTTCCTGCAGAAATTTCAAAGCTTAGCTCCCTTCACATGAAAAATAAGACCAACAAACTGGCCAGTGTCAATAGCAGTCATGTCTGCAGATGATAGAGTTAGCGATGGTTGTAACTCCCGGTAGGCACAACGAGCAGATGAGATCGCCTTCTGCTTCCCTTGCTTAGAACAAAATGACGTCGCAGTTTACAAGCATTGCTAACGCTGCAAGCATGTCCACCGTAGGCCCTGGCAAGTTCGTCTAATTTTTCACAGGAAGGAGGCGAAATTCCTTACAATTTCAACAGGTAACATGCACATTCAGTGAATGCTTTAACTTTTAATGTGCAGGCACCAATTTTTCGGGCTCGTTCAGCAGCACTAAGAACCATTGTAGATTCCTATATATATGCTAGTCATAAAATTTCGGCAAGTTCTTCAGTGCCAAGATGGCAGTATTTTCTTGTATACTTTCTTGTCATGTGCAATTGTTTTCATTTACAGTGTTGTGTAGTTCTAGAATAAATATATTTCCACAATGAAAGTGCTAGTTTTTTTTTCTACAGATAGCTGGTGCAATGTTTCGTAAAATGGTGATGTTAGCTGTAAAAAAACCTGCCTGAAAGTTCGACGAGTGGTTTCCGCATATCCAGTCTTCGCAGCTTCTTTCACAACAAAGGCTTGCTTTTTCCAAATAAAGGTGTGCGACTTTTCATATGTACTGCAATATTTAGCTGTGAATGGGAGTGAAAGGTCTGAGGTATTGAATACCTCCCTGTTCTGAAAAGACACTTTGTGCAACTTTTCAGAAGATATACCTTTTCAAACAAGTTGCACAATCTGCCTTTTCTGAATAGGAAGCTGTTCAATGCCGCAAACCTTTCACTCCTATTCACAGCTAAAGGGTCTCATTACTATTAATTTCGGCTCTAAAAGTGTCAAAATTCGTTCACAAAAGGACGAAAATTACCCTCACAATACTATAAAATTAATCCCTAAAAGGGTCAAAATTGATCCTCAAAGGGACGAAAGTTACTCCCCCGTCACTATAAATATCATCCCTTTAAGTGGCAAAATTAATCCCCAAAGGGACGAATTTTAGTCCCCAATAAAAAAAGTTAGTCCCCCAATCACCACTGTTGATCCCCAAAGGGATCAAGTTACTCCCCCAATTATAAACACGACGGCGCACAAGGGACCATAATTAATCCCCTGAAGAGTTAAGCTTAGTCCCTGATGCCCTGCTGTAGGGATCAAAAGCACTCCTCTAAACGGTTCAAAACTTTGACCTGAAGGGATCAATGGAAAGGGACTAAAAAAAAAAGGGAGGGACTAAACCGGGGTTTTGCCGTTTTTGGGGGATCACTCTCAGTGACATCGATTTAGTCCCCAAAAAGGACGAAGTACTACTCCTTTTTTTTTAAGAGTGTACGCACGTACACAGCGCAAGCCTTTAAACTGTATCAAACAAATCGCGCGATATTCACGAGCGAGCTGTCTGAAGAGCCCTATACACCTTTTCCGTCTAACCTCGACCCAGCGCGTAACGTGCGTAGCCTCGACTCGGCGACTCGGCGCACAGCGGGAATAGTTCTTCCGGTTCTAACACTTCCGGTATGCGGGAGCAGGCCTAGCCGGCTGGCAAGATGCTGAAGTGGTGCGCGTTAAATGGGTTTTGAAGCCCTTGACAGCGAAGTCAGTTGTAATAAGGTGGGTTAATACGTCGATGTATCATGTCCGCGCATATTTGGTCCTCGGGCTGCCACTGCGCAGTCGTTGGCTGCAGCAGCAATTTCCGAAAACGGAAGATAGCGCGCGACAAAGTGTGCACCGAACACAAGAAGTCGCAAAGCGAATGCGGCTGTAACGTATACATTTTGCATCGCATCCCCGCTGATATCAGCGGGGAAGCTATGCAATATCAGCACATAAAAAAGCAAATAGGCAGTATAGAAACGGACATCTACAAGTGCAGTAATAGGCCTCGATAAGTCAAATGTAGAACGAATTTTGCAGCTTGGTGGTGCAAACGGAGGGTTTCTATGCGCCCACGCTCGCGCATAGAAACCCTCCGTTAGACATTTGCCAGAAGGCTGTCATTCTTCACAAACAACAACACGCGAAGAGTAAACACTGGTAAACGTCCTCAGGAAAAGTGAACATGCCTGCAATTTTGCAGCTGTTGGCACAACAACGGGCGCCATGAAGGCGAATAAACACGCCAGAACACAAGAATAATTCACACTTTCAATAACAAACAAATTAAGAACTCACTAAAGGGAAAACAATGAAGATACGATACACGGGGTCAATGGGGACAACGCGGGAGCTAGGAACAACGCTGCTCTCCGCATACCAAAATGGGCGCACAACAAACGTATGCCAGACGCCAGACGGCGCGGCTGTCGCTGCAACACGCAAGATGGCGACGACTACGCGGAAAAGGTGTATAGGGAGCCTGTCGGAGCTAACCGCGCTGCAACGTCCATTCCCGCCCGTTCTGCTCGAATGACATCATGCAGACGGTGAACCTAACAGTTCTATTATCGAGTCTTTTGTTCATATCGATCGGCGCTACCCTTATGTAAGCTCATTTTCGGCGAGGCGTGACGGGTTGTTGGAGATCCGGTCCAGATCCCCCCGATCGATAGCCCATTTCTAGTGCCGTTTCGTTTAAAAAAAGAAAAAAAAAAGAAAGAAGCGACGTAAAATAAGTTCCAGAAAGCAACCCAAAGAAACGAAGTGGCGACACTCCAAAATCAATTTGACGGGGACACCAGAAACGACAACACACTTCTTTCTGCAGGCACGAAGCGATTTCGGAGAGCGGGAGAAAATAATGCGTCGAGCTTTCGAGATCAGATTGAACTTCTTGGCAAATAGCGACATTCTCTCCCTCTGTGTGTTTGTCAGTATGCGTGTGGCTGTCATCCTGTGTGTGTGTGTCTGCGTGCTACATATCTTTCTTCGTTCCTTTCTGTATGAGCACTCATACTAACCACGCGCCTACTTTCCTGCAGACCACTCACAGAGGGAAAGAGAATCACGAAATGAAAAACATACACTATCCCAGGCTAATGCGCGGGGGAGCGGGTATAGGGAATTAAAAGAGAAAATAGGGAGTTTTCGTAGATCGTTTTCGGCGTCCCGCAACGCCCTCCGCAACCGGCTACGATACCCGGAACTCTGCAGTCAAGGCTATCGGCGCGCAGGCGCAGTAGCAACTTCTTCGTTGGGGAGGGCTTAGCTGAGGGGGAAACGTGGTCTACGAACGACGCGACGTGCACACGCACACTACTGTTGTATTTGCGACTCCAGCGAACTATAGAGGGCGCGCTGCTCAGGCAAAATGGCGGACGAAAGGAGGTCGTTTTCGTCGTTCAGCACGCGGACCACCACAAATTCCTGCACAGCGTAAAATGAGTGTTACATTTGAAAGCAAAGCAATTTTTTACGGTAAAAACCTTCTAGTCAGTGCGTAGGAATGACACGGCGGAATCGTAAAAGTAATTACTGGAAACTATATGTTTGTTTCTATGCTGCCTACGAGAGCCAAGCAGCGATAGCAGACGACAGAGTCGAAACAACCTCCTCTCCTGAGCTTCTTGGCGCTGCCGCTACGCGGCGTCGATATCGCTGGAGTCGCGAATAGATGTTACCGAACAAAACTAACGAAATGTGTCACTTGAAAATGAAAAGAACGTGTTACCGTTACCTCAAAATAGGGAGTTGTAGTATATCGTTTTTTTTTCTTCATCCACTGCGGTATCCGTGAACAAAAAAGCCGCAGCTGCCCATGCGCGCCGCCAGCCTTGCCTGCATAGTTCTGGCGGATTACGGAGCACCATGCGGGTGCTTAGCGGGCAGCAGAAACGGTCTACTAAAACTCCCCATAAAAGGAACGCGTTAGCGTCACAGACAAAAAGTACCGCACGTTACTTTTGCCTAACTTTTTTTCTTCGACAATGAGACAAAGGGCGTGGGCGGTGAATTTTTTCTAAAGTGGGAGAGTGCAGCAGGCGCAAAGCTAGCAGTGGCAAGACACGGATGAGATTATCATCGCGTTCTGCCACTGCTACTTTCGCGCCTTCTACACGCGTGGTAAGTTTGGTGCGCCCCCGAGTTTCCCCACGAGCTTCAAGTCGTTCTAAAATTGACCGATATACAGTGCTTTTTCAGTTATACTAAGCATGTTTCTAAGTGAAACCGTGATTATTTTTACTAATTAAAACATTGATTAAGAAAGCTTATTT